GCCAACATGCTCTGAGCATGATTTTAGATTGTATCTGCATTCACGTGCCTGGCATTTTTGCAAGAAAATATATTTTTAAATGAGACATAAATAAATGATAGAATAAATATTGATTAAGATAACATTTTCCTCAGAAATGTTCGTACCCCCACAGCGTCATAGTCCAGAAGACCGACATCGATATCTTAACCACCTTCAGAATGTAAAATCTCAGTCTGTGTTGTTATTCGTATAAAAACTTTTTCTTTTTTGTTGTAGGCTCTGGAATCTTTGTGTCCCCATCAATAACACTGGAACGGTCTGGATCTGTGGGGCTATGTCTTATTATTTGGGCAGTGTGTGGAGTCATCACTTTAATGGGTAAATTAGTTTTCTTATAATATAAGGCTTGTTTTCTCTAGAACATTCTTAAATGTGCATGTATTTGAGAATAATTTCAGAAACATTATTTTTAATTTGAGGGAAGACCTTTTTTTTTGTTTGCAAATGTCCATCATGAGAGTATTTCATTACAGAATTAATGTATGTTGACTATTGGAATTTATCTGCTAGTGCTTTTATATTTATGCGTTTATATATTTATATTCCATATTTTTGAACAATAAAGGCTAAAATATTTTAATCATCTGTTAAATCTATATTATATAATCTCTTAAAATCGTAATCATTGCTGATGGCAATTGCTTTTGATAATTATTTATAATGACTGTTGCAGGAGCATTATCATATGCTGAACTCAGCTCAGTTGTCCCTCGTTCTGGGGCAGAGTACGCTTACTTCCTTGAAGCATACAGAGGCCTGCACAAGTTTTGGGGCCCTCTTCCATGCTTTATTTGTGCTTTTATCCAAGTCTGTATTATCAACCCCACAGCAGGAGCAATTATGGTATTGACATTCTCTGAGTACATATGCCAGCCATTTGTAGGTTATATGAATGGCTTGACACTGGAATCACAGGATATAGTGAAGAAGATTATTGCAATTCTTGGATTATGTGAGTACAAACATGACATGTTATTATGAAAGAGTCAAATTGTTTTGATGAATTAAAAGTTGTTACCAAGTTAAGTATTGTGGGGAAGAAAAGTCAAGTTTATGCCTAAAAATAATTCAGAAAATTTAATTTTGAGTAATTTCTGGTTTATTTTCAATCTAGTAAATGAAGGTTATCATTGAATTAGTGGTGCAGTGGCCACGCGGTCTGAGGCATGGTCCTCCTGTGTCTGGCCGCTGCGACCGTGGGTTCGAGTACCAATCAAGGCATGTTTGTCCGTGTCCTTTCTCTTCCAGTCTGGTGGGTAAAGACTGGCCACGGAAGGCAAGGCGAAACCACCGTGGTATTTTTGCAAGAAAATCCCGAAAGGGGTCACAACAGTAAAAGCTGACCATAGACAATAAAAAAATGAATATAGCGTGTTGTAATTGCAAATGCAGCTCCTATTGATAATACATATTGAAAGTAAGCTACTACATGATTTGTATTGTATAGTAGTTAAATTTATATATATGTGTATTTTAAAGTCACTATGGGATGCTTAATGTTTGATACTGAGTAACTACAGTCAGTACAGAAAGAATATTAGGAGTTTAATTTGGTAATGTTTGTTAGTACTTAATCATAAATAGCCACGATTGGTATTCATACATTTATGTTTAAGATTTACATTGAAAACATGATTTTACTTGAGATAAAACATTAATCCTAAATTCTGACACTTCCTTCTGTGAAGGCAAGAAGTCACACCCTCAAATGAGCATGAGAACACAGTTTTTTTTGTGATATTCTAAGAGGAATGATATCCTGAGAGTTCAGATTTCCAGTCTGGTTTCAGAATGCACACAAAAGAAATATAATTATAGAATTGTGATTATAGTATTATAATGGAAGAAAATTATGTAAGCAGAAGCTGCAGTCCATTACTGTAATTTGAGTGTCTTGAATATTATATGAATGTTACGTTATTTCTGAATGGTGCCCTGTTTGAGGTTATGAAAACAAAAGTTTTTGAGTTACAGTGTTAAAAATATGTATAATTTCTAAGGTTGTTTTATAGATTGTTATTTTGTAACTAAGAAGTTCATTTTGTAAGATGGTGTGTTTAAGGGTTATAAATCTGCCAAATATCTGTTAGTTGTTTTGAAATTCTTTCTATTGTTATCAATTATTCTGCTCTCACATGCTTACTCACTGTTGTAATGTTATTTAATCTAACTGAACACTGTATTCTCTTGCCGCTAGGCCTGCTGACGTTCATAAATTTCATGAGTGTGAAACTGTATGTTCGAATCCAGAATGTGTTCTCTATCGGCAAGCTTGTTGTTTGTGGAGTTGTTATTGTCGCTGGAGTTGTCATGCTTTGTACTGGTGAGTACTTGGCTAGTCATATAAGGAAAAGTTATAAGAGACAGAGGTGAATACTGCTATGAACATTAATATATCACTATTACTTTAATGTTTGTTTATCAATTTTACAAAAACATATGTGATTTGATGTTTTTATAGTAGTGAAAATTTGGATGCCCATATGTCCCACACATCTTATCTTTCTTGATTTTATCACACTAATATTTGTTAAAATTATGAAGCCTGTGATCGTGCAGTATTTTTCATCCTCCTGTTACCTTCTCTGCCTTAGTTCCAAGTATTCTTCTTACCACATTGTTTTCAAACACTCTCAAACTGTATTCTTCCCTTAATACTAAGTCTCAAAACAACAGCTGAAATTATATTTCTACATATTTATTCTTCAGGGTTTTGTATAGAAGAAGGAAGGTAAAAAGTTCTGAACTAAACTGTTCTAAATCACTCAAATGTAATGCACTTAAAATTTAATTAAGACTTTCTTTTGATTTATTAGTGTTGGATCAAAATGTTTGAACCTGTGAAAGGTCATGGTATCATTATTATTAGTTCTAAGTAATAGTGTGCTTTATTTTCATTGCTGATGATATATTTCTGACACAGTCTCTCTCATATTGATGGTGAATTATTGTTTCATAGGAAAAACAGAGAATCTGTCAAAAGGTTTTGATGGCTCATCAACATCTCCAGACAAATTGGCTTTGGCATTCTATGGTTGCCTTTGGGCTTATGGTGGATGGTGAGTGTTTTACAAAATTAGCTCAATTATTAAGACTTATAAGTGATAAATAATGGGTAAAATTTCACCTGGCTGGACTTATTATTCATGCTTATCAATATACCAAAACTGAGACAAACATAATGTTTTGTTATTGATCTTTTCTTCTCGTCATTTGTAACTGTTACGTCGTCATGCTTTAGTCATCTTACTGAGTAGCATTTCTGCCGTGCTCAACACTATAACTTGATTGATAGTAACTCATTTTCTTGAATGGGGGTGTACAATGGAAATGTGAAGTTGGTATTAAGATACATGAGGCTTTATATTGTGCATCCTACCCCTACACTTCAGAAAACTGTAGAAGAGGAAATCAAATTGTTTTCTCAGTTTTAAATTATAAAACTGGTATAAACAATGAAAAAGTGCGAGTATTAAAATTACTAATAATTTAGAAGATAAATGTTGATTGTGGTATTCTGAGTTGTGAGACCACGCAGCCATGTAGGTGGTTACCAATGCCTTGAAGAAAGTAACGCCTCCATCGTCAGTATAGAAATGCGCTAAAACTGTAAGAACTGGGAAACCATACTATAGTCCTCACATCTCAGTAAGGACAGGAAACTGTATATCTTGGATCTTATGATGTGCAGGGACTGTAGTTGTCAAACTCTGCATAATGTTACCTTCCCATAGAACGTTACTATTGAGAGTTAGGGTTCCCACATTAGTGAAAATATTGATTGTGGTCCGTGACGTTTTTACCACTATAAAACCTTGTATTTCATATACAAGTTATATACTGCAAATAGTTCTTATTCTTGTTTACAGGGCAACTGTTACAGTCATCACAGAAGAGGTTAGGAATCCAGAAGTGTAAGTAAATAATTTACATGATTATGATAAAAGACTCTACAGCTCAAGAAACAGTGGTTTTGAGTTAAGGTCATGATCAACCAAAATTATATGTTATTTCTGGCTTGTCCTCAATATGTGGTTCAAATATCTCTAACTGGTTTGAACAGATTTCCATTATATTTAATGTTAGTGGTCTTTAATATTATTATTTGATTATTTTAAATACTTTTGCCATATGTTCATTAGCTTGAAGAATTTTAAAACAGAAGTTCCAGATGCCTTCACAGCGAATAAGCTTACACAATTCGTCTCGGGCTACCAGCCATCTTCGTCCTTGTCCTTAGGGTACCGTAGTGAAACGCTGGTGTTCTATGTTGATTGTGGTATTCTGAGTTGTGAGACCACGCAGCCATGTAGGTGGTTACCAATGCCTTGAAGAAAGTAACGCCTCCATCGTCAGTATAGAAATGCGCTAAAACTGTAAGAACTGGGAAACCATACTATAGTCCTCACATCTCAGTAAGGACAGGAAACTGTATATCTTGGATCTTATGATGTGCAGGGACTGTAGTTGTCAAACTCTGCATAATGTTACCTTCCCATAGAACGTTACTATTGAGAGTTAGGGTTCCCACATTAGTGAAAATATTGATTGTGGTCCGTGACGTTTTTACCACTATAAAACCTTGTATTTCATATACAAGTTATATACTGCAAATAGTTCTTATTCTTGTTTACAGGGCAACTGTTACAGTCATCACAGAAGAGGTTAGGAATCCAGAAGTGTAAGTAAATAATTTACATGATTATGATAAAAGACTCTACAGCTCAAGAAACAGTGGTTTTGAGTTAAGGTCATGATCAACCAAAATTATATGTTATTTCTGGCTTGTCCTCAATGCAGAGTTTCTAACATGGTCAATATGTATTAAAATCTTTGTTTCTGCATTTCTTTTCACTTGAAAATTGTCAATAGCAACAACTACAAATATCTTTTTACTTTTAATATGTGGGCGCTTCAGACAAGAACACTAATATTGTCATTTGAACCAATTGATGTTGATGACTGATTGGTATGATTCTTATGAAGCACGCAGTTTCGAAAGGAATTACAGTGCACACGCTGAATGGCAATGTATTCAAAACAAAGATAAAGATGACAAAATTGCAAGATTTTTGTGGTCAAAAGAGTATAAAACACTTAAGTTTACAAGAAAGTGATAAAGGAAAAACAAGGAACTCATTTCTTTTTGTGAGTAGTGCAGTCATATAATGTCATTACTTCTGCCAATAATTTAGAGGCTAAAAATTAGTTAAAAATATTGGGGTAACAAGGTTTGATGCTCTGTGCTGTCCCATGTTTCATTTGTCACGTGACGTACTTTGATATAATTGTGAATTGCAGTTCTCTTCTGTGATGCTTGCTTTCAAAGAATCCTTTACCAAAGTGACATAGGTAGTTCTTGACTTAAAAGAACCAGTGAAAAGAAAATTGTAATTTTCAGCCGAGTTACTCATTCTCTTATTCTTATCTCTCTTACAAAGTGAATGAGTACTGTGATCTAATGAGTATTCACTTAGCATGCTTGATTTGTTCAACCCATTGGATTCTGTATAATTACGAAGTTAATTAGTCACTATGGAAAATTAAAATACATTTTAAACTCCTCCAAAATGATAATTATCATTTATAAGAACTTCTCAAATTGAAAATGTGGTTTGAGTTTGGAATAGTTTCAACAACATAATGTTTAACAGTGACTTCTTTAAATATCTCAGATGAATGTAACAGTACTTTTGTACTTATGCTCTGCCTCAGCAATGTTCTGCGCAGCATTATAATTGCCGTTCCCCTCGTGGCAGCAGTGTACCTCTTGATGAACATAGCCTACATGACAGTACTTACAGTCCCAGAAATGACTGCAGCACCAGCAGTAGCTGTGGTAATTATTGAAGCTTCTTCATATGTCCAAAGATTACCTGTTGACTGAGGGTACCTCACTTACATGATTTATAAGCCACATTTAAGAGAACCTGGGTCAAGTTTCTGGGTATGGAAATAAATGAATGAATGAATGAATAAATAAGGGATGGGTGATTAATGATTGTAACGCAACAGTTGTCTATGATCTGTCAGGTCTGAAAGTACTGCCTCAGGTTTCAAATAATAGTGCTTGGTGAAGGGTGTCCAGATTTTGCACAAAAAATCAAAATGAACATGATTTTCTCTTGCTTCTTTTGGATTTAATTATTTATATTTTTAGTTAATATTTATTTTAATCCATTTATTTTTGGACTTTTCTACTGCTGTGTATGTGCTTCTGCCTTAGAATTTGAATCCATCGTTGTTGCTAACAAGAGACCATAATTGAAGAATTAGGTTTATAAAGAAATTGTTTTATTTTTATTTTAGGTTTTTGGTGACAGATTGCTTGGGGTCATGAGTTTCATAATTCCTGTTGGTGTTGCGATGTCAACATTTGGTTCTGCGTTAACTAGTCAATTTGCTACTGCTAGGCAGTGCTATGTAGCTGGAACAGAAGGCCACATGATCGAAGCATTCTCCTACATACACCTTAGACGCCTCACTCCTGCACCAGCTGTTATCTTGCAGGTAAGTAACCCAGGAAGTTATGACTGTTTCATGCTTTTGTGTTACAGTTCTGACGCTGGTTTTCTTTATTACAAAAGCCTTACTTAATTTATGTAACAGGTTTTCGTCTGTGTACTTTCACAAATAATTCATCCGTTTATCTCAAATTTTCTCTTCAAGATGTATGTTTAGGGAAGATTCTTTTTGACAATTTAATTATATGTGTAGTTTTAGGAATTCTGTTTTGCTGTTATATATGCTACATATTTTACAGGAGTATTACAGTAAAGATATGGATACAGGACGTGTATCCATGAATGTCTAGAGGAATAATGTAATTTTCTGTACATCAAAATTTGAACCAATTAAGGCCAGATATTATACAATTCTAAACAGCTTGATGACTTTTGAATTTCTAAAATAAACCATGTCTAATATTTGTCTTGACATCTATAATGTTTGGTAGCCAATGATGTTTCTAACTTCCTAGACTATTACACTTGTTCAGGATAACTTATTTGTAAGTTGAGAATTAAAATAAATACTGCAGTTCATGTGTTTAAGGTAAATTTTTAATTAGGATCAGATTATTATATCCAGACATTGTAGTAAATGCATGTTTTACATTTTTTGTGACTTTTTGTTTTAAATTTGTTTCAATTTAATTCTTCACTATGAGTTTGTTTTTTCGTTGTTTAATTAATAGATGGGTGAAGGAATTAATGATTTAACTCTATTTGTAAATTAATGCAACCATTCCCTTCTCTGAATTCAGGGTTTCTTGTCATTCTTGTTCATCATTGCTGGCGATATAACAACACTGATTGACTTTTGTAGTTTCCTTATTTGGATATTCTATGCATTGGCAATGGTGGCCCTTATGATCATGCGGAAGACAAAGAAAGATGTTAAAAGAACTTACAAGGTAATAAATTAAAAGCAGATGGAAATTGTCTGCAGCTTAGCAGTGCCTGTTATAGGCACCAATCTGTTCAGTGCTGCTGTGTATGTACATTACTAATATTTTATTATATATAAATTTAATTAATGTGCAGTTAAGTATAAAGTTTGCCAAGAATTAGACCTGTTGCTTTTGTTGTAACAAACATTTTTGCATTATTGGATAGTATTATGTATTTTTTAGTGGAAGTAATAGGATAAAAACTAGTCTGAATAGAATGTGATTGTTATAAATAATGAATATCATTAGTGCTTGTCATCAGCAGAGATCTGTTATTTGTTTCAGGTTCCACTTTTTGCTCCAGTACTTGTTATCATTGCGGCGTTGTTCCTGTGTTTGGTGCCAATCATCTTAGACCCATCACTAAGTTATTTCTTTGCCCTGTTTTTGATTGGGCTTGGATTTATTTTATACATACCTTTAGTCTATTACAAATTTCGACTAAAATGGATGGGTGAGTACTTAATTTTTTTGTAGATGGTTCTAAAATACAGTTTTAGATACTTATTTTGCAGTTATTGGTTGGTTACTTAAGATTCACTGTCATTTGCAAGTCATTAAGGTTATGTTTATCCCTCAGAATTGAAAACTTTTCTGCACCTCTTATATGGTGCACTGGAAAAAATTAAACAGTAAATTTTAACACATTTGGCCACATTTTAAACCACCTTTTTAAAGTCTTTGATAACAGACAACTCTAATTTTCTCCCCAACACATTTCAGTGTGCATAGAGAACTCATGAAGTATCTGTTTGTATTGCATAGAGGAATATGTGTTAAGGAGAAGCATAGATGTTTTTAGAATTCCTAATCAACAAGTATACTTGTGTCAACAGCCATGAAAAATATCGTACTGAGATAATTACTTGTAATTGTGTTACGATTTTGAAGATGTTCTCTCTTCTGTTTCAGATAACTTCACTTATTTCATACAAGTTCTCATGGAGGTTATTCCTTCTGAGAATAATTTAGATGTTGACAAAAAGACTTAACTCTCAAGTCAGTGGATTTCAATGTACCTGTGCACGTTTGATGAAAAAAGTCATTTTTGTGTATATGTAAATATTTTTTATATTTACATGTAAATAAGCAGAAATAAAATGTTAATATTTATGAGTTTGTAATATGATGAAGTTTATTATTAGCGGCTAATACACCACACAAATTGAAAAATCAATCAAGAGCTGTTTATTACACTGTTTATTAGGGTCATACAGTAAATTTAAAAAAATCCTATAGCCAACATTTGAATCAGAAGAAAATAAAATAATTTGTTTCAAAACTGCATAATGTTGTCTGCTGTATGGTGCAAGAATGTCAGCAGCAGGTAAGAATACTCTTTTCTTATGTCTGCGTTTTTATTTTACTTTTAACTTATAAACAAATAGTATGCCATTCAATTAACATGATGTAAACAAGTCAAATATAAACTTCTTCATATGCACTACTATTCTTTATAAGTGCCACACTAGATCCAGCCTTCATTTAGAGTGTCAGAAATTATTGCAATTGTTAAAATAATAAAGTGTAAAAAATACCTTTACTCTGATGTAATTCTGGGCAGTGGATAGCGCGCTGTTTTACCCCGTGATGTGTGTCTACTACGCGTCCCAGTTTGACCAGGGCATTTCTGGTTTGGAGACTCTGTCCTGTCCGTTTTGGAGTTTTGTACCTTATAATTTGGTAAAAAGTTTTTATGTGCGTGCATTGGTATTTCTGAATCACAGCTCATGTTGCTGTAATTGTGACCGAGTTCGTCGAGTTTCGTAATTTGCTGCAGGGCGTTCCCATTTTACTTATTTACGGTTATGTTGGCGAACTGTGGGTGGTGAGAGGGGAGGGGAAAAGACACGTGCAGTAAAGAAGTTGCTATTGTGCCAAACATACTGCTTTCTCGTTTGTTCAGTGATCCGAAACGCAGTCGCAAGTTTACTGACGAATTGCAGAGGGAATCCGTTTCCAAAGAAGCATGTGTTAAGAGCATTGTACTAGAGCATCAGGTGTTACTGTACGAGTCTTAAGTGAATTAACAGTGTACTAGGAATTATCCAGTGTTTCCTCTGTTTGCTGTTCCTTACAGAAACGGCATTCAGAATACTGCCAATAACATTTGAACAAATAGCGTGTTTATAGATTGAACCCAAATTCAGTTAGCACAAAGTTTCCAAAGTTATGTCTTCTCCTTTGGTTCTTCAATTAAATCCGTATTCATGCTACGTGCCTTATCAATCTCATTCTCCTTAATATACCACCCTCCTAATATTCGGTGAAGAATACGAACAAATTATGAAGATCTATATGAAGTAGCGTATCTAAACTGTGGCAAAAACGTAACTATTTATTGAACAGAATGTTTTGCTATGTGACCTCACCATTCTGTTGTATTAGCCAGAAACTTCAACTCCTTCATAGCCTATAAAAAATAATTAGTTTCACTGGTGAAGGAATTAAAGCAAAATGGAAATAGATAAGAATATAGTTGCACTTTTGACTTACATCATACACATTTCGGAGTCTAGAACTTACGAGGTGCTCTAGTAGCTTGGACGCATGCGTTGTATCCTGTGTAGTGTGTGTAACCAAGAAAGTAAATAGTTGTGTTTAAGCATAATCGTTGAATTGGGTGACTTATTAATGGCTACGGAGTGAATTAAACTGTTTTGTTTAATTACTTACATATGTTTACAGCAACAGCTTCTCTTCACAGTTGTAATCTATAAAGCAGATGCATTTCAGTGCTGTGTAGTCGTGTGATAATCCCGTGCTGGACTTAATGTACTCCACTACTTCGTTTTTACGTAAGTGAAGGTAAACTTTTTGGTGTTAGTTTCAGTATTGAAAAGAAGATGATTTTTGTGTTTCACTTCGTAGTTACATTGTTTTAAACACCAGCCTTATGGAACTGAATTCTATTTTAAAACTTTTCATAACGTTATCAATGAATGGTGTGTGATATAGCGGACGTTACTCAAAACATTTATGCGTCATTGTTGAAAGCAACGTTGGATGACCTGATAAAATCGCTTAGTGCCAGAATCCGTGGTCGGAGGCAGTAGGATTCTCAGAAACTTCAGGAGTTTCTGTCCCAAAAGAAGACGTTGGAATCATATGACTCGAAATACCTCTATGTAAGTAGCAACGCACTATTTCTTACTTCAGGCCTAGTAATTAAGCAACAAGTAAAATGATATGCAATTTACTAAAAAAGTGAATCTGTCAGCTACTCTTACAGTATCAATGCCATGTCGTAATATGTACTTTAATGGAATGGTAAAGTCGATGTTCTTCAAAGGTTAAGACGTGAGGAAAATTGAATAACGTGGAGTATTTTCTTACGTCAGTGATTTGAGTTGATCGATGTAGGGTAGTTCAAGTTTTGTTGACTGTAGTGTAATTAGCATTTGTAATGTCTGCAACAAATGCACATTTATATACTAACCAAAATATTTACTTCAGTACAGTCAGCGTTCTTCATGGAAGAATGATACTGATTCTAAAGTTTAACCTACAAATGCTGCCACAAGCGTACATAAACACAGCACGAAGAATAATAAACTGTGATTATACAACCACAAAATGATACATTTGGTTAATGGGGCAAATACAGAACATGTTAGCGATGTAGGATTTTGGATTTAAGGTACTGATTACAGGAACTGCATCTCCGTAAAACGGGCGAACGACACTAAATCTGTTTGTGCGAAAAATGTATTGTTTTTCTTTCATCTTGTGAAAAGTATTTCGTTTATCTAATATTTGCGCCCAGTCATGGCGAAAATTTAACTGAACTGTACTTGACGTCAGCTTATCGTTCATATTTATCAAAGTATAAACTCTAAGAAAGTTGTGTTTTAGACAAGCGCATGGAAGTATTTGTGCTCCTGTGTTAAGAAGAACAGACAAGAGTTGAGAATTTTTTCATAAAACTCTTCTGTATTAAATTTAATTAAAATCGGTTTATCCGTTCCATTCACCCAGACTGATTTGGAAATAATAACTAAGTTCTGTGAGGCTGTATTATAAATCTAATAACAAATAAAATATTCACTAATGGTCACTTACGTTTTGTCTCAAAGATTAAAGAAATGAATATTCATGTTGTCTTTCGTACAGGACGTATCTTCAAGTGAGAAAGGGACCCATATTCGTAATTAAATGGTTAGCTCTCTTACTTCGTATTCATGAGACCCCTGGTTCAAATCTCTGGACACTGTTTATCCTGACTTAGGTTTTCGTGGTTTTCTTCAGTCCTTCTAGGAAAGCTCTGGGGTAGCACCTTGAATTAGGCTACTGCCACTTCATTCCATACTTTCCAATTTATTATTCATTAACATTCTCTTATTCGACGCTAAAAGTCTTGAGTTTCTGAAAAAAAGCGTCGTTAAATAGACTACAAATAAATAAAATAATCGGTAGTGCATGGAACGGAGAGAAGTGCAATCCTCGCTGAACTGTGCATAGTTACCTTTCTTGCGTGTAGATGGCAGTGATGTGATGTTTGGTGATTAATTAAATCAAACCAGTGTGGGTTAATACATGCTGTCTATATGCTGCAAGATCTCTTTGATTTGTGGTGTTCTTGAGCAGACTACAATTTAATTATGCATTATTAATGATTATTTATTTATTAGTTTTACATAGTTTCTGATTTTACGGAACCTGAAGTCTCATAGATTTTATTCTTGATTTAATCACAGAATTGTGCATAGCGAAGTGTACAAATTATAAGGCTCCTTAATATAATAGAGTGACGCACTGAATAGTGAATTCGTGAAGTTATTGCCTTTCTGTTCAAGAATTTTTGCCTATAGATTATATTAAATACAGATGTTACATAAACTTCAGATATCAGGTTCTGGTATAATTGATACTCCACACAAAACTTTCTTCAGTAGTTCGTCTGTCAGACGTTGGTGACTGTTTTGATCCAGTCAACGTAGTACGCGACTTCTGTGTACACCCCTGGGTATGGTGGCTGAGTGCAGGGCTTGACGGACCACGAGACGATACCCACCTGATAATTATTCGCAATTAGAGGACCTCCAGAATCACCCTGTGAAGTACACACGAACGTATAAAGCAGGTGTTTTTGATGTTGTTTTGTTCATTATCTGTGAAAATTTAATTCTTAATTAGTGTTGGAATATGCGCCATTTGGATAACACGACGAATGGCTGGTATTAAATAAAACTGAAATATTTGCTTTAAAGTTAGAAAAATGGACAATTTCGGGATTTAATTTGTTTCAAAACTGGCCAGTTTAATTTTATATCGTTTCGGCTTGTTGTAATAGGCCAAGGCTGCAATGTTTTAAGGTAAGTTAAATTCCAGTCTTTGCAGTTATCCGTTATAAAGTAATGCATGTTAATTTCCATAGAAGATTATATTGTTTGGTTGGCTTAGTAAATAGGACTATATTAATGGACTTATTGTGGCAGTAAGTCTAAAGTTATGAAGCTTAGAGTTAAGTGTCTTGAATTTGTTGAGAGTAGTAATATATACTATAATGTCAATTATTCCCTTGAATTAAAATAATTTGTTGTTCTTTAAAATGTTACTAAGGAGTTTTCAGTATAAAATACGTTGCCGTAGAAGGAAAATAGGTTAGTTCCTTTGAAGCAATCAATTCTTAGGCCGCCTTGTCGTGGAGTTCCATTGCGTTTCGAAAAGTTAACTTATCCGGGTGTAAAATCAATGACAACCTCAGAGAAGGTTATTTTATTTTATTTTAGTGTTCTGTCTGACGACAGGTCCATATGAACAGGATCCTTACATCCTTTTCTCGGACTGGGACCTGTTCATATACGTTCTTGGCAGATGATCCAGAAGTGGTTTGCCATTGCCTTCTTCTGTGTGTGAATGGAGTAATTGAAACCGGGGAAGCCCACGGAGGAAAACTCCGTGTTGCCAAGACCACGGCCTTGCCCAACACAAGTTATAAATTCGGGCACCGCCGGGAATCGAACCCGAGACCCCAGGATTACAAGGCCAGCGTTATAAAAAGAAGGGCTCTTCGTTCCCTGGGAATCAAACCGCAGTTTTTAGCCCCGTAACTATTTGCTTTATTGTACGATTTACCGAACTGAACGGTAATGGAAGTGGAAATCGAGCACCTGAAGCGTTTTGATGTTGTTCTACGCAAAACTGTTTTCCATAGTTCGTTTTTAGCGCGTGATTTACTTACACTGCAGTGTCCTTTACCACCGCCGGGAACTCCGGCACAGATGTTACTGGGTTTCACGTATCCTGTCAGTATTTCGTAGCATTCTTCATCAGATATTGTCACGATTTTGACCATCTTCAGGGTGTCGCTGGTCGGTCCTCCAGTCTGCAACATAGTTAGCTCTCATCAGGACATAAGCTTATACCCACAGTTTTCGACCGGGTCGGTCATCTACCGGTAGGGGGCAGATCACCGAATGTAAAGACTGCGATGTTGTTTTTCTGGACTGTGACGCCGCGAAGACTCGTAGGTGTTTCGGAGAAGCACACTGTCTCCATCTTCATGACTGGTTCTCTGAACCTTTGGCAACGATCTAGGAGTCTTCATGGCTTTACAACCGAGGGCAACATTGCCACAGTTGACACTAATTTGACGATCACATCTTGCATAATTTCTGAAGTATTGTTTACCTTTATGTTATATGTAGTTCTATATGTGTCGTTTACGTTGTAAATTAGAAATAACAACATGCCTGCCGATAAAAGTCGTCACGTGATAAGGTTTAAAGTCGATAAATTGCACAGCATTACAGTGTGAAAGGTAACAAATAATCGATAGTATGATTAGAACATCATTCGCCAAAGAGGCTCGGCAAATCTTAAACCTCTGTACTAGATGGCCCTGATGATGGAGGTAGTAACCTCCTCCAATATCATACCATCTCAGAAAACAACTAACTTCATGAAGACTGGGACATTCCAATTTCCGAAACGTCGCTTTTAGATGTTTTACATATTATAGCGTGAACGAAGAACACCTTATGCGTTTACAAAGGTGTAACAAAGATTAGGACAATGGATAATGTCCAAGAAATTTGCCACTGTACTAAAATACGTACATGCAAAGTTGTATATTGAATATTTCTAAATTCATGATCGTCGTTAAATGAGTGTCTTTATTTTAAGCTAGTAAGATCAGTGAACACTTACAAACCGATGTCCCCAGCCAATCACCGTGCTCGGAAGGCCTCCATCTGTGATTTGTGTCTGGGAAGGCAGGGTGACGACAGCCACGTATCCAGTCATAGACAGGTGACTTTCCAGCTGAAAGGATTGTTAAGAGGAAATTGAATGGCTTTAATTTCATTCAGTCCGTATGTTGAGGTTAGCAATGACTTTATCAGTAATTATAAAATTTAGTGATCTATTAAATTGTATATTTTACACTAACAATTCCGGCTTTGTTAAAACATTTGAAATCCATTGGCAATTATGCATACCATTTGATTTAATAATAAATAATTATTCATTTTTCCCACAGAATAATTTGTGGGTTTTGTATTATTGTCAGAATGAACAACCATTATATCTCTAAAGAATGTTATCCAATTGATCTCTCTAATGGAGACGCGTTAGACATATTCTGTCTACAAAATAAAAAGTTGCATTGATTAAACACTTTCTTGATTCACTAAACTCACACAAATCTAAAGTTCCAATACAAGCCATTAAATATGAAACAAAACACAGAAATAGTATTAAAATATATTAAAATTGTCCGTCAATCACAATAAAGTAATATAAGATAATTAAATGGTTAAAATATTATCCTTTGTTCCGTATCGAATACTCGATTTACATATGGAACATTCTCGACATGTTTCGACTTTCATAGAGCCGTCATCAGGTGTATGTTATAAATTCTTAATTCAATTACTAATTTTTAAGAAAATTAAAAATTAGTAATTGAATTAAGAGTTTATAACATACACCTGATGACGGCTCTATGAAAGTCGAAACATGTCGAGAATGTTCCATTTGTAAATCGAGTATTCGATGCGGAACAAAGGATAATATTTTAACCATTTAATTATCTTATATTACTTTATTGTGATTGACGGACAATTTTAATATATTTTAATACTATTTTTAAATAAAATCACAATATGACGCACCTACAATATCTTAAAACACAGAAGTCGCAGGCTTGCTGTTATAAACGTGTATTTCCGTGAAAAGATAAAGATTAAAATTACCAAGCGAAACAGTACTTAGTGCCCTTGTAAGAGTAATTTTGCTGAATTTGAATTGAGTTTTGTAAACCCTGCAACAGGTAGCGTGCTTATACGCGATTGGTACATTATTTCACCGCGTCACGGCGCTTGTTCACGAGCAGATCGACGCTCTATCTGGGTCAGCAGTGCGTTTCGAATGGGAGTGTTCTGGAGGAATTCAAAACCAGCCTCACAGAAGGCAATTTAATTACTCAGCACGTAAATGTTTGCTAAATCCTGTTGGAAACCGTGGCGAAATTAAGAACAATTACGTTTTTGGAATGTATGTAATGCTATAATTAATCATCTCGTCTTCACTCCCAATGTCCGTGCGCTAAGATAAGTCCTTGGGGGAGGTAGTGAGCAGCACATGCGCACTCCGCGTATTAAAAACCAGCACTTCAGTAGATTGCAGGAGTGCAGTGCATTGTGTAGAGGAATAGTGTCGCAGGAGTGGACATGTTTTGTGGCCGTTCATGTCCACGCCACTTCCCGCGGACTTCTCATGGCGCGCCGGCAGTACGAAAAGTTTATATCTCCGGATTTTCTTCTGGCATCCAGGATCTCTTTGAATCTGTGGTCTGTATTCTAGTCCCTGATTTGGTGTTTTGTCTTCGTTTCGTGTTGTAACCAGTTATTTTGGTAGTTTTAAATTTCGCTGATAATATTTGAAGCATTTAATTTTTATTTTGATGTTAGTTCGTTGGTGTTCTATTATTTTAGTACAATACAGAGGTAGTATAACATTCATTTGTGCTGCTTACAGCCTCAAGGTGTTCGTTTTCAGAATCTTCATGTTACTGTCTACAAATAAAAACCAAAAGATGCTGTACGAAAAAAGAAAACTATAATTTTATATTTGTTTTATGTAGAAGATGAACTTGGATTCTTACTTCAAAGGAAGAACATTGCTTTAGGGTGTTGGAGAACAAAATACTTAAAGTATTTCAACTTCTAAGAGATAAAATAACAGAGGAATGAAGAAACTTATATAACGAAGGATCATATTTTCTGTGTTCTTCATCTGATATTACCTTAACTAAGCCTATGTCAAGAGGAATTGAATCAGAATGGATGTAGAATAGAATACATGAGAAATGTTTATAAAACTTCAGTCCGAAGATATTAGGGAAGAGATCACGTGGTAGAGTTGAGTAGAAGGACTGGTAGGTGAACATTATACATTCGCCTGGAACACTAGGTAAGCAGCTTACCTCCAGGACAGCGATGTCGTTCTCGTAGTTTTCCGGGTCGTAGTTCGGGTGGATCTTGTACCGGAGAACGTGTCTTCTCTCGCCCCCTTTGGACAGCACGTTCGTTCCCGCAAGCACACTGTAGTATATCGCTACCCTGCCACACACGACATAAATCGGTTCATACAGTACATGTCTGCCATTTTCTGCTCAAGGGATTGGTTCTGACGCAGAAATAAATGATATGTACCAGCGTGTAACCTACTTTGAAGTACCGAACGTAAAATCAATCATTCCTCATAAGATAGAATGATTATCCGGAATTTTTGTATTATTATCGGAAACCTCTGGCCAACAATGACGGGAAAATTTAAAATACTACTTGAGGACGCACTTTTATTGAAAAGTCTAAAAATTCAGCATAGAAAATTAAAAAATAGTTACGTTTGCTTGAGCCTAATTAATAATTGTATTCTATTTAATGTAATGGAAATAATGATTTTAAAAATGATAACCAGCCAACATATATTTCAACACATTTTGTGCGCAGTACGTTGCATTATTTAATCAGTTTGTAATACAGAGCCAAGGCCTTCTGAATCTATGTCGTTCTATCAAAGTGACTGATAAACATTTCAGTTAGTAGGGATGAAAGTAAGCAGTCTTTAAAATGTATGTCCATGCATTTCGGAGAAATTTGTAGAAATTATATGCCGTAGATTTTGTTAAGAAATAAGAGTCTTTAAGTCTTACGCTGAAGAGATACGCTTAAGTTTTGCATCGTTTTTATTGTAATGATGGTAAGAATTATCGCCAATCTATGAACTGTCACTTATGTAGGATTTGAGGTTTTCACGGCCGTGAGTCTGAAGATTTCTGTCTTCTGGGTTGTTGCGCTGTGTAGTCTGGTCGATGTTTACCAACGTTTCAGAGGTCATACTGCCTCCGTCATCAGGGCGATGAAGATTTCTGTCTTCTGGGTTGTTGCGCTGTGTAGTCTGGTCGATGTTTACCAACGTTTCAGAGGTCATACTGCCTCCGTCATCAGGGCGATGAAGATTTCTGTCTTCTGGGTTGTTGCGCTGTGTAGTCTGGTCGATGTTTACCAACGTTTCAGAGGTCATACTGCCTCCGTCATCAGGGCGATGAAGATTTCTGTCTTCTGGGTTGTTGCGCTGTGTAGTCTGGTCGATGTTTACCAACGTTTCAGAGGTCATACTGCCTCCGTCATCAGGGCGATGAAGATTTCTGTCTTCTGGGTTGTTGCGCTGTGTAGTCTGGTCGATGTTTACCAACGTTTCAGAGGTCATACTGCCTCCGTCATCAGGGCGATGAAGATTTCTGTCTTCTGGGTTGTTGCGCTGTGTAGTCTGGTCGATGTTTACCAACGTTTCAGAGGTCATACTGCCTCCGTCATCAGGGCGATGAAGATTTCTGTCTTCTGGGTTGTTGCGCTGTGTAGTCTGGTCGATGTTTACCAACGTTTCAGAGGTCATACTGCCTCCGTCATCAGGGCGATGAAGATTTCTGTCTTCTGGGTTGTTGCGCTGTGTAGTCTGGTCGATGTTTACCAACGTTTCAGAGGTCATACTGCCTCCGTCATCAGGGCGATGAAGATTTCTGTCTTCTGGGTTGTTGCGCTGTGTAGTCTGGTCGATGTTTACCAACGTTTCAGAGGTCATACTGCCTCCGTCATCAGGGCGATGAAGATTTCTGTCTTCTGGGTTGTTGCGCTGTGTAGTCTGGTCGATGTTTACCAACGTTTCAGAGGTCATACTGCCTCCGTCATCAGGGCGATGAAGATTTCTGTCTTCTGGGTTGTTGCGCTGTGTAGTCTGGTCGATGTTTACCAACGTTTCAGAGGTCATACTGCCTCCGTCATCAGGGCGATGAATCCAGAAGACAGCCATCTTCGGACTCACCGCCGTAAAAAACTCAAATCCTACATATCTAGGCCTGCCATTATTTTGTGAAACTGTTTGGATTTTTTTAAAAATATTACGACAGTTCCAAAATTTGTTTGTATATCTGACATACATCACCGATTATGTACTGGTGGAAACTACAAAAAAGAAACAAAAACAAACAGAGCACTGTAATTGTTTCTAACCTCAGAATAATTACTCAAGTGTTTGACGTCACACGATCTTAAATAGCTGTAATTATCGTTTCCATAATATCATTTACAATCTGACACAGGTAGGACATTCGCTTAAATAGAACCCTGTGAAACATATT